CACTGCTGCGCATCAAGGCTGTAAAATAACGGGGCCTTCGCAAGCCGCAGGGCAGGAAATGAGAGTGGGCGGACGCTCTTTCTTTCCCAACCAACCTGTGTTGTTGGGTGCTCGTTTTGAAGAGACGGTCCCCGCGTCTCCTCCTCCTCCTCCTCCTCCTCCTCCTCCTCCCTCCTCCCCTCCACTCATCATCATTATCCTCATCATCCTCATCATCCTCATCATCCTGATCATCCTCATCATCCTCATCATCCTCAGCATCCTCATCATCATCATCATCATCATCATCATCATCATCATCATCATCATCATCCTCATCCTCATCCTCATCCTCATCGTCATCGTCATCGTCATCATCGTCGTCATCATCATCACCAACATCAGCATCACCACCCCCCAGTAAAGCGTTTCGTGGCCCCACGGGGAGCGCCACCGAAAGTCCCCGTGGCGCAGTCCGCATGCGCCCCTCCCACCCAGTACAGCGATTCGTGGCCCCATCGGGGCTCCACCGAAGGTCCCCGTGGCGCAGTCCGCATGCGTCTGCCCCACCCAGTACAGCGCTTCGTGGCCCCATAGGGAGCTCCACCGAAGGTCCCCGTGGCGCAGTCCGCATGCGTCTGCCTCACCCAGTACAGCGCGTCGTGGCCCCATAGGGAGCTCCACCGAAGGTCCCCGTGGCGCAGTCCGGATGCGTCTGCCCCACGCAGTACAGCGCTTCGTGGTCCCATATGGAGCCCCACCGAAGGTCCCCGTGGCGCAGTCCGCATGCGTCCCCCCCACCCAGTGCAGCCGTTCCGTGGCCCTATATGGGGTTCCACCGAAGGTCCCCGTGGCGCAGTCCGCATGCGTCTCCCTCACCCAGTACAGCGGTTCGTGGCCTCATCGGGAACTCCACCGAAGGTCCCCGTGGCGCAGTCCGCATGCGCCTCCCTCACCCAATACAGCGTTTCGTGACCTCATATGGAGCCCCAGCGAAGGCTCCCGTGGAGCAGTCCGCATGCGTCCCCCTCACCCAGTACACCTTTTCGTGGCCCCATAGGGGCTCCTCGGAAGGTCCCCGTGGCGCAGTCCGCATGCGTCTGCCCCACCCAGTACAGCGCGTCGTGGCCCCATAGGGAGCTCCACCGAAGGTCCCCGTGGCGCAGTCCGCATGCGTCTCCCCCACCTAGTACAGCGTCTGGTGGCCCCATGGGGGTTCCACCCGAGGTCCCCGTGGCGCAGTCCGGATGCGGCTCCCCCACCCAATACAGCGCTTCGTGGTCCCATATGGAGCCCCACCGAAAGTCCCCGTGGCGCAGTCCGCATGCGTCTCCCCCACCCAGTACAGCCTTTCGTGGCCCCATATGGGGTTCCTCCGAAGGTCCCCGTGGCGCAGTCCGCATGCGTTCCCCCTCACCCAATACAGCGTTTCGTGGCCCCATATGGAGCCCCACCGAAGGCTCCCGTGGAGCAGTCCGCATGCGTCCCCCTCGCCCAGTACACCTTTTCGTGGCCCCACAGGGGCTCCTCCGAAGGTCCCCGTGGAACAATCCGCATGCGTCCCCCTCACCCAGTATAGCGTTTCCGTGGCCCCACAGGGGGTTCCACTGAAGGTCCCCGTGGCGCAGTCCGCATGCGTCTGCCCCACCCAGTACAGCGTTTCGTGGCCCCATAGGGAGCGCCACCTAAGGCTCCCGTGGCGCAGTCCGCATGCGTCTCCCCCACCCACGACAGCGATTCGTGGCCCCATATGGGGCTCCACCGAAGGTCCCCGTGGCGCAGTCCGCATGCGTCTCCCTCACCCAGCACAGCGTTTCCACCGAAGGTCCCCGTGGCGCAATCCGCATGCGTCTCCCTCACCCAGTACACCTTTTCGTGGCCCCATAGGGAGCCCCACCGAAGGTCCCCGTGGCGCAGTCCGCGCGCGCCTCCCCCACCCAGTACAGCGTGTCGTGGCCCCACAGGGAGCTCCACCGAAGGTCCCCGTGGCGCAGTCCGCATGCGTCTCCCCCACCCAGTACACCTCCGTCGGAGGCCGTCGGGGTTCCGCGCGTCGCTCGCCCGTCGTCGCTCTGCCCAGCGGCAAGAGCCTTGCCCGCTAGCAGCCAGCCAGCTAGCTCTCTCTGCTCCGCGCAGCGGACGACCCGCGCGCGTCGCTGGGACCCCTCCGGGGCGACCTGCGCGTGTCGCGGGGACTCCGCGCTGCGCTGCGCCCGCAGCCTTGGACTTTTGAGTGCGCGGGCAAAGAGGGAATAAAAAAAGGGGAGGAAGCGGGCGCGATCCTCGCGGGGGGGCGCGCCGACATTGGCGTCGCGGCGCGCGGGCGATGCCGTCGGGGAGTCCGGGGGAAGCTCCTTGCGGCGGCCACGCCCAGCGTCACGAGCACTCACAAGCAGCCATTCTCAAACTATTGACATTCCTATACAATGACACCGGACTTTGTCATACTCGCGTTCATGCACGTAGACTCGCTCGCACGCAGATTCATTCACAGTCAGACGCACTCGCGCTCATATTCACCCGCGCTCAGTCTCCCCACGTACTCAGATCAATCGTTTTCGTTCGCGTTGTGTACCACGCCACCCATTTCGGCATACCCCTAGCACGGTTCGTGTCCTCATAGGGATCATCACCGAAGAAGTGAATCACAATTGCGGTACTCACACCTGCATATGGTTGGGTCCTTCGTCTGGCTAATTATGTGTAGTAGCCTCGCAGATGTTCAAGCACAAAGCGAAGGATAAAACGAGGGGAAGGGCTGCGATAACAGCACCGCCTGTATGGAGCCGGCGTCGGGGCGGAGAGAGCCATGGTGCAAGCGCAGCCGCGATAAACACACACGGTCGGTCAATGAATGGTTCAAGGGGCACGCCATGTCTGCCCAGCGACTCGATCACATCCAGATGCTCAAAAACATCAGCGTCAACATCGATGTCATCGGACCTGGCGCACAGGAGCGGCGGGCCGCCGCCCTCGCGGCCCTGGGGCCCAGTGCCGAACAGCTCAGACTGCGGCGGGCTTCCACGCAAGAGGCACGCATCCGCAGCACCAGGTGGTTCAGGAGAGAGGGCGCTGAGCGTGTCTCGCCAGGTCCTGCCGCCAAGTATGTGTCGGACCACCTCCACGACCCGACGGCGATCGGGGAACGCGCGGACTTCCGAAAGTAAAGCGTTGCCAACTCTTGGGCCGTGGAGAGCTGCTCTCGCAGTATACATGTGGTGTTCCCAAGATCCTTTTTATCCGACCGCTGTACACCAATGGAAATAAATCCCAACATCTTCAAAAGCAAAAGACGCTGCGCTACGACAAGCACCGTAAACTTCAAAGGATCGGGCCCACCGGCTCCGAAATGGTCGGCCGAATAATTTGGACCATCTCGCGGACCGTGCAGAAACGCTTGCGTCCGAACTCTGCCATAGCAAGAGAAGTGTAAAGAGTAGTCTTGGTGTCGGAAGTACCAGTCAGCTTCACAAACGGCCTCTGGATATACTCCGCCCCTGGCGCGGGTCGCCTGGGGAAGTCCCTGCGCTCGCCGACTCCGAGGACGCACCCACCTGCCTGGAAGGTGATGAGGAACCCCAAAAAAGCATACAACGAGGCGGATCTCCAAACTGATCCTGCACAACCGCAGGCTGACTAAGTTTGTGATCCTGAAACAGCTACAATACCAGAGTGCGCGGCAACCTGGGCTTCGTGACGAGGTTGCGCGTGCTGCAGCCCCTCGGGCATAAAGAGCACAAACACTCGGCGGTGTTGACAGTGGGGACCTGGCCTAGACTGAACAAGAGCGCGTCCTGGCGGAATCCATCGAATGAGTACGTAAACTGTCGGCGCCTCCGATCCTCCGCAAAACAAGCGGGTGGTAACGAGGGGCGACGCACCGCTCAGGGAAGGCTGCCGCCGGAGAAGAATGCCTCAGCCCAGGGATCTGTGACGTGTCGAAGAAAGTAAAACGCATTGTCGCGCTGCGGGGGAAGCCTGCGGGTCGGGGATGAAAGAACCGATCGCTGAGAATGTGCGGCGACGTTCAAACCAGTGACCAGCTTGTTAAAAGATGCAGGTATCAACCTCAACGCTTTGACCGCCAAGATCCATACACATCCACGCAGGCGCCATCCGCTCGACGAGAAGAAAGAACACAGTCAGTCAAGCCTTGTGCCCAAAACGGCGCATTGGCAGATACTCCAGATTTCGTAATAAAAGGGAGGGGGTCTGGACCCTCCAAGGCAGGCCATTTCAGACCCCCCCCCGTGGGAGAACCCTCCAAAACATCGTCCCCAGACCCCCCCAGGCCCTCCAAGATAGCCTGGAAGAGACCCCCCCCCCGAAATGAGACCCCCTCCATTTTATTACGAAACCTGGAGTAAACAACTTCGCGCGTGAGTTGCGTGGAGATGGGAAGAAGCAGGAGGGAAAAGGAAGAAGAGAAGGGGAGAGGAAGGAGGACGGCAAAACAATGAAAGCTGGTGCTCTGGCAATCAAAGCTGGCCGCCTTGCGCCACAGTGGCTGCGGACGAGAGCCGCAAGGAGGAGGCGGAGGAGGAGGGCGGAGGGAGGGTTCAGGGAGGGTGCGGAACTACAACGTGGCTGTGGAGGGCGAGCACCACCCGAAGACCCTCACGGTAGGCCCAAGAGTCGGCGGTGGACAAACCTCCCTTTAGTAAACCTCCCCTTAGTGAAAACGGCCTGGGACCGAAACCGACGGAACTGGACCCGCAAAAATGACAGCCGCGACGCCCTCTCGCGAACCGAAAACGGCCAATTCCTTAATCGACGCGTCAGGGTAGGAGGTCTGTCCACCCCCGAAAGAGGGTCCGGGACGAAACTGGGGCAACCAGGATGTACCGATACCGCTGCTCCCTGGACCTCTCACTGGGCGCGCTCGCGGCCAACACCTGGGAGCGAATGCCGCCCTGGCGACGAGGGCCTCCCAGGAGGCCCAGGAAGGCGGAGAAGAGGCAACGGCAGCGGTGCCGGCAATTACTATCTTCTCCTCCCCCGAAGAGCATATCCCTGGGCTCCTCCGGCGAGGCCTCGTCGGTGTCGGAGCCGTCGGGCGGCGGCAGCGGGGGCGCGGGCCTCAGGAAGGAGATGAGGAAGCCGGGGGCGGGGCGCAGCCCGCTGGAGGCGGGCGGCTGCGCAGGAGAGTGTGCTGCGTCCTCGGGCGGGCGGGGAGCAGCTCCTCTTCCTCCCTCCTCCGCCTCCCTCGCTCCCTCCATGCCTCCATCCCTCCCTCCCTTTGTGGGCCCCGGAAACGGCAGGGCCGTTTTTTCACCGTTTCCAAAAAAATGCCCCTCAAAAATGAAAACGGCAAAAAAACGGCGACCGGAAACGGCAAGGCTCCAGGACCGGAACCGGAGCCGGAACCGGTAAAAAAAGGCGACGGAAGCGGTAAAACAACGGCGTCGGAACCAGCAACAAAAACGGCAAAACGGAACCGGTACACAAACGGCCCTGTCGTTTCCAGGGCCCACTAAGCTCCCTCCCTCCGTCCCTCCTCCTTCTGGCCTCTGCACTCTCCCTCGTAATGAGTGAAGGCTGGCACCCTTCTTGTCGACATAAGCGGTCGGATCAGTTTCCAGAGTCAAGCTTGACGGCTGGATCCTCACCTGGCTTAGGGCTTCAAGCATAATGGTCCCGTGACGTGCCCAACCCTGTACTAACACGGGGCAACTATATCAAGGACAGCTCAGCACAAACGAACGTGATGAAAGACGCGCACTTCGCACCCCCCTGGGGAACCACAAGGTGTAGACTGGGTCCGCGTGGACCTCCATTCCGCTGGACCGACCTCCCAGACGACCCCGAAATTGATGTCAACTGCGCGGTTCGCAGCCCCTCAGGGTGCCGCGAGGTCTCTGCTGGGTGTGCGTGTCCCTCCAATCCGCTTCCCAGAGCCGAACGTGGCGACAATCGCACAGTTCGCAGACCCCCCAAGTAGCCGAGAAGTCTCGGCTGGGTGTGCGTGTCCCCCCCATTCCGCTGGGCCTCCCAGGAGCTCATGAAAGTGGCGACAACTGCGGAATTCGCAGGACCCCCAAGGAACCGCGAAATCTCGTCTGGGTGTGCGTGTCCCCCCACTCCGCTGGACCTCCCAGGAGCCAACGAAACTGGCGACAATTGCGGAGCCGCGAGGTTTCGGCTGGGTGCGCGTGTCCTTCCATTCCCGTGGGCCTCCCAGGAGCCTGCAAAACTGGCGACAATTGCGCAGTTCGCAGGCCCCCAGGGAGCCGCTAGGTCTCGGCAGGGTGTGCGTGTCCCTACACTCCGCTGGGCCTCCCAGAGGCCCACAGAAAAAAACGACAACTGCGCAGTTCGCAAACCCCACACGGAGCTGCACGGTCTGAGCTCGGTGCGCGTGTCCCTTCAATCCGCTGGGCCTCCCGGGAGCCTACGAGCGTGGCGACAACTGCGCAGCTCGCAGCCCCACAAGTAACCGCGAGGTCTCGGCCGGACGCGCGTGCCCACCCAACGCCGCTGGGCCTCCCAGGGCTGCACGAAAGATTGGCGACAGCTGCGCAGCTCGGTCTCCGAGAGGGCCGAAGCGGGGGGGGGCAGGCGCGAGCAAGCACGCGAGGGGGGGAGGGGCGAGAAGCGACTGGGGGGGCGGAGCGGAGGAGGAGGGGAGGAGGCCAAACCATCGAGGAAGAGAGCTGAGGCCGCGGACTGGTGCGAGCGTGTTCCTGGGGTTCATGGAAAATCGGAGGGTCTCTTATCGGCAGAGCGGCGCGCCAAAGGCACGCCACGCGATTCAAGCATGTTGTGTTGTGAATATTGTCGTGCCAGCTTGTATGGGTTCTCAATGCCCGCCGTAACCCAAATCGATCCCAATCGTGCGATATGTGCAACACGTCTTCGGTCTCGCATTCAACCTACTATTTGATTTATTTCACGTAGCGTGATTTCTCGCCCGTCACGGAGAATGATTTTCACCTCGCCCGAGAGAATATCCGACGCGTTGTATGCATTTTCATATTTGGCTCTCGAGTGTTTTCGTGACGTGCAAGCGCCTCGTCAAATATATCGTCAAGCTCTGTTTTGGCAAATCCGAAGAGCACTGTTTGAACAAGAGCCCGCAAACGGTCATCCCAGGCGTCCATGCCGTAACATGATCTTCCTCGTGCGCAGTGAACCTCTGGGTCACTTGTTCTACATCAACTTCAACTAACAGGCGTTCGCGACCCCACACAAATGAATGGGAGGCTGGGCCCACGAACGCCAAAATGCGTCATCTGTTCCAAAATCCTCTTATAGAAGACGTGGCACTCGTCATCCTCTGCCCGTGGCTAAGCCAAAACATGAAGTGAGAAACTATTCCGAGGGTCGGCCGTCTGCAGCAATTCAGCTCTGAAACGTCCGATCCACGAGCTCGGGTGTGCAATATTGTTTTCCTCGTTGCCTGCCTGTGGTCCAGAAGAGTTTCCAACCTCGCAAGCAAACTTATCTGAACCAACTGTGTTCATACAGCTCTCTATGCGATTGTCCACCATATCTTCATACTCACAAATTACGGTATCGACCATGGACAACACAACATCGTTTGCCCTCGTCACACCTGTGGCCCAAGACAACGCTGCGTATTTTTTCTATGAGGCACAAATCAGAAGACCATGCACGTTCATCGGTATTAGGAACAAAAAACATAATTTGAATTGTCATGCCAAAAACAAACTTGCACCTTGTCGGAAGACATCAAGCTAAGCACGCGCAAAGGTACGATCGTGAATTATCTCCGCCGAGTGAAAAAAAAACTGAATGGGCGAACAGCAACTGTTGTAAAGATGTTTGCCCGCGTGGACTGCAGCATTCTTGAAACCGAATCAGTTCAAAATCGAATTTTTGGCTCGGCCGAACGTCGCAAATCTTCATGGATGAAAAAATCCCATGCGAGTTCCAAGGCAGTAGAGCGCGACAATCAGAATGAAGTACGCGGATGTCCCCTCTCCTTCCCCGCTCCTTGTCCTCTCACCTACTCGCCTTCGAAAAGGACCCCTTCCTCCTCTTGCTCTTGGCCCGCGGAGACGAGTTGGGCCGGTGCCTAAACTGGATATCTTCGTCACCCCACGGGCAGGACGCCCCCTCAATTGCTTGCTCCGAAACGCCGTCTAGGAGGAGGAAGACAAGGAGGATGAGGAGGATCGGATCGGATCGGAAACGCTGGGGACGATCTCGAGCTCCCAAACGGACAGCCTGCACTCGCAAGCCAGCTGTAAAGAGCGCACGTCCCTGCGGCGGCCAATAAGCCGAGCAACATCCATATTTTAAATCCCGAGGTCCCTGCAGCGAGGAGGGCCTCGACGGGCCCCGAGGCAAGCCCCAGGACGGGGGGGGCGGCCCCCCACGGGTGCCTGCGGGCACCAGCATGCACTGATCACGATCGGCGACGAGACGGCTGACCCCCCCTCTTCGGAAGGGGGGCGTCCTCACCTAGGCTCCTGGGCGGGCACGGCGCGCCCCTGGGCGCGGTCCTCGCCCGCCGCCGCGAGCGGTGCTTCCTCTCCCCCCCCCCGCCCACCGCCGCCCCACCCCCGCTCCCCACGAAGACGCCCCTGCCAGTGACCCTCACATCACGGATCACACCGCGAGCGACAAGAGAGGCGAGGCGGGCACTAGAAGCAAGATTGGGGGAAAGCAACAGAGGGGGTGGAGTGCGAAAAGGGTTCGAAGTGGAAGAGGAAGGCTGGCTAGAGAAAGGCTGTGACTCACTGCGCTCAGTATATCTTCAGGTCTCAGCTCCCGCGCTGGAGCCACTGTTGAAGATGACGCTCTGCCTGACTGCGGGGCGCCGAACCCGCCAGACGCTGCGCCTGGAGCTCCGTGAGCGCGCGCATCATCAGCCCCTGAAGGGCGACACCTGCAGCCAAGCCCAGGACGATGTGCAGCTTGAACTTGACCGTCCCCTCCACGCGCTTGCTCTTCTCCCCGCGCGGCACCTGGGAGGAAAAGTGACGGGCCATCAGCGCGATCCCGTCGGGCGCTTTGTCTTTTACATGAGTTTCCCAAAAGAGGTTGACCGCGTCTTTGTAGACAATCCAGAACACTGTGGGCCACGGTGGCCCTAGGCTGCCGAGGTCCGTCGACAGGTCGGTGGCGGCCTTCTCTTTCAGCTGCTTGACACTCTCGGCGTAGTACTTGTTGCCTCGGAGGCCTGCCTGAGATAGCCACGTCTGCTCTGAAATCAGGAACGCGTCGTTGATGCACGACTCCATGTCCGCAATCGCCCTCGAGTTGGCCAGCGTCTGTCGCACCACCCACTTCATCGTCGCGCCGTCCATGGAGTCGTCTCCTCGCCTGCCACCGCCGTTTCCGCCGCGGCCCCCGCTGCCCCCCCCGGCTGCGCTGGCGGCGCGCGCCGCCTGGGATGGGGGGGCGCCCTCGGTCGCCTCGCCCCGGCGCTTGCGCAGCGGGAAGATCCACGCGGGGGCGTCCGCAAGCTCGAGCTCCATGGCCTCGGCCATGTCGCAACTCACGAACCTCTAGGAGCTCTGGGAGATGCGTGCACGCGTGGACGCAGCACTCGTCCAGCGTCAAGAAACTTGAGCCGCATGCGCGACAAGATAGATCGCCAGGCGGAGCGAGTGCACGTAGTGTAGAAGCTTTGCCACTTAGACCTCCCCCGTGCAGAATCGAACCATGAAGGCGCTTCTGGGCCGTTCCCAAAATATTTCACGGCATGCTATGCACTGGTTGCACTTAGTGAGTGCATGCGAAAACTTCACTGTGCCATGCGTGCGACGAATGTGATTGATAAGTCCAGACCGTTATGCGACTCGAGACGGACACGACGGCCATGGACGCGCGCGCAAGTCGCCCGTGCACAGCGCCTCGGCCTCAAAAGCCTCGAAGCCCACAAAGATGCCTGGGGGTGGAACCTCTGAGGTTTGAACAGCGCTGCGAAGGATACTGACATCAACCCTTGCGACATCTTTGGCGATGGCAAACTCGAAGAGGCGAAGGAGCGAACCCGAGGCACGGTCCCAGCATTCAGCAGCATCAGAGCTCCACTGAATCAGCGTGTAGATATCATCCTGCAGTCGAACTGCCCAGGGATTAGCTTGTGGATTAACGGCGCCCGCATCCGTGAAGACCCCCACCCCGTCAGACATAGTGCCCAGGAGAGCCGCAAGATATTGTGCATGTGCCGCGGGTGTCGAAGACA